GGGAGGCCGCTTCCCGCTCCCGTTCCCGGTGTTTCCCGGCTGCTGGCGCGCGCAGGGGCCGCGGGCCGGCTGCTCCTGTGCAAGGCCTTTGGGAAGCACTGGGAGTGGTTCTCGGTCAGTCGCCTCTGTGGATACTAAGTTATTTTAAATCACCCGTTCGGGGTCTACAAAAAGGCCTTAAATCCCGTAAACTCGGTAGTTTGTGCATATATATAATTGGTACCACAGAATGCACCCTCCTCAGCTGCTGAGTCAGCCAGCAAACGGCTTTCAGGCAGTATCTGTACACATATATTTTCATTATTTCAGAACCGCTTACACTGATACTGTTCATAGTGGCCAGTAGCAAGAGAACAAGTACTGTGGTGTTCTGTGAAATTAAATACTCAAATGAAAAAGGCAAATCATTAATGCCTTATTCTCACAGAATCACTTATACGAAGCCCATCTTTCCAGGGCATCTGAGAAACAAAAGCAGTGAATGTGGCTTGTCTTTCAGCTCAATAAATACCTATCTCACACGAGTATTTGAGTAGGTGCCTGTTGATACCAAACTGTGCGGTAGTCAAACAGTTTCATTTACCAGACTTAATCTACCTGCAGTATAGGTTATTGGAGACACTGTGCTACACCTTCCCAGAATACATATATTAATGTCTGGGCACGAAGCCTTCCTAATTAAAGTAAGGTATAGGTACAGTAATAAGGATATAAAATGCTGGAAAGATTGAAAATAAGTGGCAAAGAATATAAATGGTAAGATTTGAAGAGTAATTATGCACTGATAAGGAAAATGTCCAATAGTGTATATATATGGCCAATAACTTAAAAATAATAGGAAGGAATTTTTAACTGCTGTAGCAAGAAAAAAAGCAGGTAAGGTGCAGATCAGTTGATAGATATACTAAAACTGTACAATTGTAGCTGTATAGAAAAGGTAGGCATGCTTCATGAGTTTGGGGTTTTTTTGTACTTGAACTCAGCATAAATAGCTCGTAGTCTTCCATCTGCAGTGCTTGTGCTGAGACTGCTGGTAATCAACACTGCACTCAGTGAGGTATCTTACGTGGTGGGGCTTTGTGGCACTGGCGCGTTTGCTTATTCAGTTTTTATGTAAGGAAAAGGAGGGCTGCATAGGAAGGCTGAGCTTTGGTAACCTTTTAAGTTACAGTAAGATGATAGCATTAGAAATACAGCAGTGATAAATCAGTTTATAATAAATGCAACTTATTTTGCAGATCTCAAACATTATGTAGTCCCTCTGGTGGGGAGACTGAAGCCAAGGAACACAGAATGCTAGTACTGTTGCCTTTCTTGGAGATAATTCAGTATGTTTTCCCAATAAAGGAGCCTAAGTAATGTGATTTCGTTTAGAAAATGAAATTCATGTGTGCAGTTTACATTCCATAGCTTTTGCTGGATTCTTTGCAGTAGGATGTTAAGAAATAATTCAAAATGGAGTCATAGCATTACTGCCTCAAAATCTGATTGCAAGTCACATCCATTGTATGTGCCATGCCTTCTGACAGAGTACAAAGCCCAGCATAAACCCACTACAAGCCACATGCTCTCTGTTTGCCCTTCTTCTCTTTCTCTCTCCCACTAGGTCTGGCTTCGTTTAATGCTGACAGGAGCTGGCACATGATGTGGGAATTCATCCACCCTGACCTGAAAGCCTTGAGCCACACTGTGCTGCAAGTTACATCCCCATCAGGTGGCAGCGTGCTGAGGCGCCGTGCTCTCCTGGCAAGCAGGGTGTGGAATTTGTCCTTTCCGGAACTGCAATAAAAGAAACTAGGGCGAAATAGGGACTTTATGTGTAAAGTTCGAATTTCCTGAAGTGTTTCCTTAGCACATCTGAGCGGATAAAGGCTTGAGAATAAGTATATTACTTAAGGAGGGACAAAAAAATAATCTCTTTACCCTTTTAATGGCTATAACTTGAGGAGAGGCATAAATTCAAACACTGGAAATGTAAGTACATTACAAACCAGAAGTCTTTATAATATAGTGCCTCACTCAGTACCCAGAATGAATGGTGCTCCACTGTTTTTTGGGGTTTTTTGACACCACCCTTTCTTTTTCTATTTACTGTACATTAAATATACTTAGTTCGGCAGCCAGTTATTTTGCACAAGGATTTTCCGTAATAGCCAATTTTGTGTTGGCATCATCAAATAATGAACTTGCAAGGACAGGGGGGAAGCATTTCTATCACTCCATAGGTAAAAACAGTATGGAGATTAGAAGTTCCTATACATTTTGATTGTCTAGTTTGAGCTGCCTCTTTATTCTGCAACCTTTTCCCTCCCAGCTCCAACCTCTTTAACAGATGGTTCAGGGGTGACCAACTTCTTTACTCCATAATCCTTCTCTTCGTTTTTTCCTCTGTGTTCAGCATTGTGGGAATTTTTCATCACTCACTGGGCATCAGCAAGAGTATCACTGAGAGCCTAAGACAAGATAACCTTAATTGTGGGTAGTGCAGCTATGGAGGTTTTGATACTGAGATCAGCTTTTATACAATGCAGTACAGTAATGCAACTTAACACATCTATTTAATTATAAAAATAGCAGTTTGTGCTATATATATATTCCCCAGGCATGAGAACTTTACAGAATTAAAGCTATAATGTGTTTTTTCAGTAACATAATTAATTTCTAAGATCTCACATCTTCAAGTCATGTAGTTCCCAAGATGGTGTTTAACTGAAGTTGTAATTACATTATAAAGATATCTGAAGGTAACAGTGACACGTCTGTGACTTGAAAAAGACACTTACAGTTCTGCTTACTTTGCCTATCGCTTTAAAACCGGTCTTTATTCCTTTACCACATACCTTAAATCAAAACCTTCACTACTGAAAACCTGGATATTTTGGAGCAGATTGATGAGAACTAGTTAGAGCAAGTTATGCAAGCTCCTTTAATCCTTTTGTTGAATAACATCGGGTCAGGATCCGAGTCTGCACTGTTTTTGCCAGACAGAAGCCAGAGAATTGAAATGAGGTGCATATAAATGATTGCAGCACAGAACAAGGTCAGCAATAAGGCGTCTGATTCCCTGTGTACAGTACTTTTTTATAATCATATGTGTCAGCATATATGTCCTGATATAAATCAGAATATATATAATGCTACTTTACCAACTCGGCTGTATGAACTGGAAAATAAGTGTTAGCTTGTGAAACTCATAGTTGCAGGTGGACAGAAAGTGCTGCAAAGCGTGATTCTTCTGAGGCAGTGCCATGGGTATCCAGCTACAAGAGGGTATTCCTGGTTCCACTTCCTGTTTTCTGAATTATTTCTTTAAAAACCTGCAGCTATCTGATGAAATATGGACAAATAGTTCAGGAGGTAAAGCCTGAAAATAATGATCTATGGGCTAAATAAAAATATCCAACTTGTTTGTTCTCTTAATTAATTTTCAGTTGCACAGTAGCTTTGTTTTATTACATGAGCTAAAACACATTATTTTACAAAGTTCCCTTGAGCTTCCTTAGTTCCAAAGTTCCTTAGAGCAGTAACTTGTTCTCAGGTAGCCTAAAACACATCTTTTCCACTTCATGGGTGAAATTCCTAAGCATTAGGGGTTATATGTGCATTAATTATGCAGTAAATTGGTACTGTGCTGTTCTCCCCACTATGTTTCACCTGGTGCTCAGCTCTGCCAAGTGATCCAGTCTGACGATTTAAGAATCATGCTCTGCTTGAGTACCAGAACAGTGGTAGGTGGGAAATAAGATTATAGCTGGTTAATTAGCCACTGGGGAAACCATCATGTAGAATACAGAAATGGTGTTTGTGGTATCTGAATTCTCTGTTTGCCACCCATTAGGTGTCTGATGTCCATTTGGGCTCTCATTCTTACCTCCTAGGTTTCTTGAGGATCTAAGCAGATAGCTTTTACTCTTTAGTGCTTGAACTCAGTTGACACTACTGCAGTGCTATCAGAATTCATCTTCATTTGCTGATCTGTAATTTCCATGAGACTGGAAGAATTACTGGGGAAATATCTTTGTTTACATGTGACTCACCCAGTAGTATCCAAATACATGACCCCAGGAAAAAAAAGTTTATTTTTTATTTGCTTATGTAAGTGCCCCACTATCACAAATGATGCAACAGAGTTTCTAGCATTTGGGGAAATCACGTTTCAGCATGCCTGGAGTGAAAGAGATGTGCTGCACCCTGCACAGAAAAATCACTCTCCTGATTATGTTTTCTCCTTTTGATTCCAGTTTTGGTTACTGTTTCTGTCACTATGTGGGCTGTGTTTGAAAATCCCTCAAATACTGCAACACACATCCCCAAGTGGCCAATGTGACATATTTGCAGTTGCTGTCACAAAATTTTACCATACAGAATATCAGAATCACAGAATGGTGGAGATTGAAAGGGACTTCTGGAAACCATCTAGGCCAACCCACCTGCTAAAGCAGGTTCACCTAGAACAGGTTGAGCAGGATCGTGTCTGAGTGGGTTTTGAATATCTCCAGAGAAGGAGATTCCACAACATCTCTGGGCAGCCTGTTCCAGTACTTTGTCACCCTCAAAGTAAATAAGTTTTCCCTCATGTTCAGATGGAACTTCCTGTGTTCCAAGTTGTTCCCATTGCCCCTTGTCCTCTCACTGGGCACCTCCGAAAAGAGTCTGGCCTTATCCTCTTGACACCCACCCTTTAGATATTTCTAAGCATTGGTAAGATCCCCTCTCAGTCTTCTCCAGGCTAAACAAACCCACGTCTCTCAGTCTTTCCTCATAAAAGATATTATTCAGTCCCCTAATAATCTTAACTCTCACTGTACTCTCTCCAGTACTTCCTTGTTTTTCTAGAACTGGACACAGTACTCCAGACTGAAGGAATGAGCCTATTGCTGTCCCAAAAAGCTCCCACCAGATGTCAGACTGATACTTCTAATACGGACACATCAGCCTATGCTTGATGGCTTTCTAACCTGTACCAGGTTTTTACCATATACAAGTGTAAGCGTTGCAAACCTTAGAAATGGAGCTCACCTGACAGGTGTCAGGAACCTGCTGTGGGAGCAGCTCCTTGGGTCTTGGTGCCGATCTCTAATAGGAGCAGTAATATTCTTGAGCCATTCCTGGTGCCAAACTCCCTTTGTAAGTATCTAACTGTAGTTTAGGAATTTATATATAGGTTTTTCTATTGGGAAAAAAAGTTAGCATAGGTTCATGCTTTTTAAAAAATTATTATTTCTTTTTTTCTAATGCCACTCTAATGTGTTTGTAACTGTAACTATACATTTGCATATTTACATTTCCATGTAACTAAATTGATTAAGCAGTATAATTTCTAAACTTAGCTATATGTCTGCACTTACAGTAGTAAAATTTGCCATACGTTATATTAACTAGGTCACAGGGAAAAATTACCCTCCCTCTGTTGGGGTTAATATGTGATATAGAAATAATCCTTTTGTCCAGCTGTAAAGAGTGAGCATTATCTACACGAGGTCATTATTAGTAAATAAAGTATGTCATAATCAGCTAGCTATGTATAATGAAGTATCAAAACATATTAATATTTTATAGAATAGATCATAGATTGTTTTAGTTGGAAAAGACCTTTAGGGTCATAAAGTCCACCACAAAATCACATCCCTAAGTATCTTTAATGCTCTATTTTAGAGCTCTTTAATGCTGTATTTTAAAAATGCTGCAGAACTCTATTTTTGATTTATTTATTTTCTGTTCTATTAAGTGTATATTACCATTAACAATAATGCATATTTTTATATAATCTAACTGCTCCAGGAATCTTTACAGATGCTAATAATCAGTTGCTGTTTTGCATTTGTGTTGTGCATGCTTGACATGTTACATCCAGGAATTAATTGGCTTTGAGATGTCTAAGAGTATTCCACAAGTTTACATCAAAACTTTCTGATTCCCTTTGAATTTTATTTAAGCAAAAGTTAGGGCAATCAGTTGGTGGCAGCAAACACTAAAAAAAACCCAACCTTTCTGAAGTTTGGAGCTGCTCTCAGTTGTGAGAGTGTAGTCTGGGCAGTGTGCATGTGTGAGTGGGCTCCCATGGCTGGCTAGAGCTCTTGTGAAACCAACAAAGTTGTGGATAAGCACCAGTCCTCTCCACACTCTTCTGGATTGGGGTGTTCGTATAACTTCTGAGGATGTTCCCATTATCTTCCCTTTCTGCTTTCATCCACAGGCTTTATTTCTTCATTAATTCCTGGTGTTCTTAATCACTTTTTCTTTTAGCTAATATCTGGTATGGCTTTCTGAGGATTTAGCTTAAGCATAATGCCTCCAAATCTAACACAACAAAGGACTGTCAGCCTTTCACATACGTATTTCACATACATCACAAAATTGAACAAAACTAGTGTTCTCATGTTCATCATGTTCTAGGGTAGAGGACAATGAAAATAATAAAGATTGGGGAAAAAAATCCTAAAAGTCATGGTCTAATGAAACTGTGAATATATTCAGGTCAGAGGCAACTTCATAGTTGTTATGACATGTAAAATGATTATATGATAGCTCATCACCATCATTATCTTGGATTTAAGGGGCCTCAGTTCTTCACTGGTGGCAGGCATAGTCAGTTGCATCTGCATAGTCCTATTTTGCACAGTTTACAATGATGCAAAGATCTCTGCTGAAAACATGCTTGGGAGAGCAGGTCACAGATATCTATCTTCATGCTTGTAGAAATGGTCAGGTTTTTTCTATCTAAGAAGTAAAGAAGTCTGCTTCCTCTGGAGATTTACTTTCTTTAAGAAGTGAGGGGGAGAGGAGAGAGTATAAATATGGATTAAGGGCTTTGTTTGTTTCCTCATGAACTCTGTTAATAAAAGTATTCAGAAAGCAATTTTCTGCAAATACTGCCCTCTTGTCTGGAATAAAACATGGAGTCATGGTAAGGGGTATGATTGTCCTGGATGAAAGATCCAACTTTAAAATTTGCCTTCAAAGTAGGTATATGTTAGGTAAGAGTACTTTGTGCCCAAAAAGAGTGACTTGATTTTCTTTTGATGCAGAACTTGGAGCTCACAGTGTCCACTGTGTGGGAAACACAGGGGTGTGGGAAACAGTTCTTCTTCCCCACGTAAGTCTAAACAAAATGCCTTTTAAGTCAGCAAAGGTTAATTTGTAAACTAAACATTGGTCTCAGTAGCTATTTGTGAGCATGATGGGGGTGTATTCTAACCTCCACTCTAAAATAGGGTCCCGCAGCGGCCGTTCCTCTGTGAGAGGCAGCGCCACGGGTGAGTCCTTGAGTTCATTCAACAACCCCTCCAAACTGGGGGGAGTCACAGAAGCCTCCTGACAGCCCCCCTGGCATCAGCTCTTAGCAAGGGGTCAGATACCTGTGATTCTGTCTACCTTTGAACACTTGTCTTTACCTTTGCCTCCTTGTAAGCAAGAC